TGTTAATTATTTTTATTAGTACATTGTTATCGTTACCACCATACATTACAATTATGAACCCCCCATCCCGGCGTTCTCCCCTACAATTTTGATTTTTTTTTTTTTTTTACATCTTAATTTCATATATGTTCTACATATGTAGTCCTCTGGTTATCAAGGTTGTTTATTTATGGCAACTACCACTGCCTTCGTGTCGAACACCTCTTTTCGTTCCTCATTCATGACGGCGTTCGTCAAAAAAATTTTCCTCATTAATTTCACTGCATTGGTTATATATAGCGGGCATATATATACAATCTTGAGAACTTGCTCTACCACCTCCCACTCACCTCCCGATCCCGATCCCATGAATTTCCGTAAGCAAAATCTCATTTTTAAAATTTATATAATTTTTACTCCTTGATTTCTGTCTATATATATATGTACGTATACATATATATATATATATTATTTCTTTTTTTTTTTTTCCTTTTTTTTTTTTTTCCACGCCCGAATTTCTACCATTACAAATACTTCATATTCGTTACCATTGGACGAGCAAAACAATCGTCGCAGAAAAACGAGAAGACATTTCGATCCTTGTGATTGGTGGAGATTTGAGTGTTTATAAATCCGATTGTAAAAAGGAAAAAATTGTTTATCGGTGTTAAAAAAAAAAAAATACAAAAAAAAAAAGAGAGAGAAAACAAGTGAAATCTTTAATTATTGTAATGAAAGAATTTTTGTGAATACATAAACAATGATTATATATATACAAATTAAATTGTTTCGACCTTCCGGCCGACGCTTTATTGATGCCATGCTTGCTTTTTAAATGCCGTCGTGTTCATGGGTTAACCTCACGCGAGATGATTAATGATACAGAATAAATATGATAGGATAGTTGCGCCTTCCAAAATTTAATTGATGCATTTGAAAGAGAAAGCCTAACTATAGCAACATCATTGATACCAGGTAGATAGATTCTTAATAAAATTTCTCGAAATCATGTAAAATTCGATCGGCATCCCCTTCGGAGAATTGTTCGCGCAAAAAGGTACGCATTGAAACCAGGAACTGTGGATCTTTGACCTTTTCCGCTCCTTCGGCCGAAAGTGGAGGCAATTCGTGCGATTCCTGGGAATGCTGAAGACTTGATGTATTTTGCTCCGAGGATGACTCAGAAGTGCTACCAGACGCCGTTTGTTCCGAGTTGGATCCAGCAACTTTCTGAACCAGGTGTATGGTGGTCTCGTTATCAATTCCATACTCGGACAAGGTTTTCGTATCGACCAATGCTTTTCCTTTCAATATCAACCTTTGATTTCCAGGGGATACCGACGTGAGCGACTGTAATTTTTCCTTCAAGTTGAAAACCGTCTCTAAATTACTCAATTGGACCGTGTAAACTTTTCCACCTTTCAACGACTTGACATTGACTTTTATCGAGGCGCCTGCGTTCAACGAAATTATGAGAAACACTGGCAAACCGATTCACATGTCTTCCTCTCTCTCACCTTCTGTTGGTTTCGATACTTGATGTTTGTTTTTTCCGGTTTTACTTTGGGAACCGGTAAACGTCTAAAGTTTGAATTTCTTGTTAAGGGTAAAATTCAACGTTCCAACTTTCGTGCCCGAAAGCGACTTACCCTAACAGGAGGCCGTGGCCTTGTTTGAGCCGGCGGGGCAAAGTCTTGTGGATATTTTACCGCGAGTGAGCTCAGCGAATCAAGATATTGACTCACGAAATCTGTCTCGTCAACCAAACTCATCTTTACAAAAAAACCTGGTGTAATCTTGCAGACCACGTTTTGGCATATTTATACGTTTTTATCCTGTGGCGTAGTTGATTGAAAATCCCGTTTATTAATACCATAAACATATTTCTTTTAATAATGAAAATGTATATTATAATAATAATACATAAAAAAGAAACAAACATTTCTTAGCTATATTACATAATGCTAGCTTGCCCACTACATTCTCTTAACTGATATTGAAAATAAATATTAAAACAATATATTAGACGGTTGGTAAACAATGCAATATTAATAATTAAATTTCTATTTGCTATTTATTTTACTGATTGTTATTTTTAATTATAGTAAGTACACTTCCCTACCATAAATTACCGGAATTTATTAGTAAGCGTACAATGATCTTTTTTTTATACATATTTTTAACTACAGAATCTCAACAACCTACTTAATAACTTAAGTCAAATTTTTTTTATTTATTTGTTATATAGGTAAAAAACTATTTACCAATTACTGCAAGAATACATTGGGGCATACTTTCAACGAGATTTTCAATAATCAAACCATCTATTTTAAACCATTCTTCCTGCAATAAATTGAATAGCTCTGACTCACTTGTTGGTAAAGGAATATGCCTATGAATATGATGCTTCAATTCATCCCATAAATGTTCAATGGGATTGAGATCAGGGCTGTAAGAAGATCAAGAAAGTTGATCAATATTATTTTCTTCAAACCAATGTAAAGTAAAAGTTGCAGTGTGAATTTTAGCATTGTCGTCTTGGAATCTATAATTTTTTTGCCCAACAATATTTTCTAAATTACTTAAAAAAGATAAATAACAATTTTGAAAAATTTCTATATAATCCTTTGCATTCATTTTTCCATTAACTCGAACTAAGGGTCCAAGGCCATAATAATTAAAGCATCCCAAACCATTACATCCTTTCTTCCTGATCTAAATGTAGGAGTCAAACAGTCAATATCATATTTTTCCTTGGGCTGTCTCCAGACATATATCCAACCATCCTCTGCAAATATCTCAAACCGTAATTTATTACTCCAAATCATCTTATTCCATCTTTTATTCCAAGCTTTTTTTTCTTGTACCCATTGTATATGGATCACACAATTGCTTTCATTTATGAATGGTTTTCTTACACCAACCTGACCAAAAAACCTTTTTCATGAAAGTAACGTCGCATGGTACTTGTGGATACGTCAATAGATGTTGATTCGATGAATTTGTTTGTTAATATATTTGGCATTGACTTTCTGTCTTGTTTTAAAAGACGAACCAAGTAATGTGTTCCATGTTCAGTTATTTTGGAAGGTCACCCAGGCCAAGGGAAAGGTACTGTCTTTTCATTCTTCTTATAATAATTAATTACATCATAGACAATACTTTTTGGTAATCTCAAAGTTCTTATTATTGCAACTGGTTTCTGGCCACACCCTCTCGTTCTTGTCTAACCAAACTTCTCACTTCATACCTCCTTCCTTTTAGAAACGACACAACTACCTCAAG